CAGTGAGAGACCTAGAGCCTCTAGGCTAAAGGAGACCGTTTGAGTCCTCAAAATTCTCAAGTCCACCAGTGGTGGGGCAACTGGGCAGCCGCAAGGTATGCGTCATATAAACCATTTCCCTGTCCGGGGCGGTTATGCCACACCCAAGGTATGCGTCAATATAAACCATTTCCCTGTCCGGGTCGGTTATGCCACACCCAAGGTATGCGTCAATATAAACCATTTCCCTGTCCGGGGCGGTTATGCCACACCCAAGGTATGCGTCAATATGAACCATTTCCCTGTCCGGGGCGGTTATGCCACACCCAAGTGTGAGAATTTGACCGGGCTCCGCCTCATGAACACGACTCATTGAAGATGCCATTAAGTCTCAAGGTCAATAACTAACTACTAAGACATAAATCCGATGGAGATGGGGTCTACTACGACTCAGACTTAGGTTGTACGAATAAAAGACTGGCCATTGCTCGGCCCGAGCAAAAACACGCGTGCACATGATTGCACGCAAGCACACCGTGACGCACACAACCTGTGCGTGAGGCCCACTATCGACCATCCATCAAACCACACCAAGGTATGCGTCAATATAAACCATTTCCCTGTCCGGGGCGGTTATGCCACACCCAAGGTATGCGTCAATATAAACCATTTCCCTGTCCGGGGCGGTTATGCCACGCCCAAGGCCTCCGTCGATACAGCTTAGTTGTCGGCGTGGGGCGGCTATGCCATCCCAAGGTATGTGTCAACACAACCGATTCCTCTGGGCGGGGCAGCTATGCCACTCCAAGAAATTCCTTGCTTCCCTGAAACTCGTCGGCGAACGACGAGCGGAGACCCTTTTCGTCGGCACAACAGAAGTAACGCCAATTTACACGACATACAGAAGGTGCGACTTGCCCTCACTTGCCGTGTTTTAGGATGCCACAGTGATGCCTGCAGCTCGGCGAACTCACAGTCACCATGTCTCCCAATCTCACTTGAGCAAACGCAAATCACACAGCTGATATACTAGATTAACAGATCGGAGGAAATATTCGCACCCTTATCGGACTCCGATGATCGGAGACTTACCGTTTAAAATCGTGGAGGAACTATTAGAGTATGACAAAGAGCAGCGTGAGAACGACCAGCAGTCTAATAACCATCAATAGCACGGTAACGATCAGCAAACATGACAACGATCACACTGACCGGTTGTACGAGTACGAGATCTTCAGGATATCTATTTATTCACAGCAGCCTTACCTATATCACGATGGGGCGTCACAGGTCACACAGAGTTAAAAGAAGAGAACAGAAAAAGACAGTAAGGCACGACTGTGGAGACGAGTCAACTTGTTTCCGAGCATGGTTCTCAACAGAGATGGATCAGGCGAGTCACAAAAATGAAAACAACGCAAGCTTTGCTCCGACATTTACAAGGCCACCAATGCTCCAAGACTATAAGTCCTTACGAAAGACATAGCCGCCGCATCCACAGTGATGTGTGTACGTAACTATAGGGCGAATCAGACCTTCAACTGGCATGGACTCAAGACCGTCCCCCTGGTCTCTCCAAGTCGATACTGCATCAGTAGAGTTGCTGCCGGTGCTCCTTGAGGATCTGTCCGATTCGACCAGAGCCGGCAACGGCTTCAAAGACTGGTACCGGCCAGTGCGCCTCTGACAAAAATGCAGGAAATTTAGTGAGCTCTACCAGACGTTAGTAATGCATACCTGTTTTGAAGGGCGCAGGTGACGAGGTGGCGGGTTCGCTGAGTGGTTCGCATGAGATACCCTCATATTTTTTCTGAAAGCAAGCGAATCTTCAAGCAGGTTCCGTCACTCGACAGCATAGGAGGACTAATGGTGACTCACATAGTTGCATCCCTGAGTCCTGCCGAGCCTCGGAAACCAGAAGCCTCCTGCTGTCGAGCTACGCGACGACTGGGCTGATAAGACTGAAAGAGAAGTATAGAACCAAGGGAAATTCTTCCGGTTACGTTATAGCGACGGAGATGTTCGTGGCGCATGCTATATGATGCCAATTCTAAGGCTGTCGCAGGGCCTCGAGCCACGATGGGAGCGGACTCGATGCGACGAAGAGGCGGCTGATAAGTCGGCGAGTTCCACCTGAGTGAAAAACACTGTGAGTTTCGGCTCTACCTTTCCGATTCGCTCAAGTGCTGGTGAAAATTCCACGTAGATGCAAGCATGGCAAACACATTAGGGTACGATAGTTTCTCAAAATTTTCTCAGAATCTTCATATTCTCCCACACTGCAATTGGACGTGGACCGTCGCGCGTTTAGAGAAATCAGTCTTGTCGCACTCAGTGTTGAGCTTTCCAATGCGAGCCGATACGGATTACATCCATGGGAGTTCTCCTTCCTTGAAGAGAACCACAACAATGAGTACGTTCACAATTACCTTTGAACACAGTTCATTCAGGATCACATAGAAGCTCATATTCCCCCAGCAGATCGCGTTATGTCGCATCCTTTCCCAGCACAGAAAACGATCAGAGCCCCTTGAATCGATCCTGGGCTGCTGGCCAAGTACGAACTACTCTCAACGAATAGGCAACTCAAGGCTATGGTTAATGCAATCTAGAGATTCTATTTACTATCATACTCACAAAACCATCAAATAACTTCAAGCTAAAGCTTAGATGCGATAGTTGTGGACTCTGCTTTATGTTGTTTCAACTTATTAACTGCTGATTTCAGCAAGCGTCGCGTCAAACCTTGTCTGCTTCTCCCGAGATCGAGAATAGTATAGCAGAACTTTCCATGCAGTACCAAAACCTAAGTGGACAGCTTGAGAGGCTCTTCAAGGTCAGTTTGGATGGCGTGTCCTTGAATTTAGCAAAAAGCTGAACTTAAGCCGTCAGAATCTGAACTAAATTGATGATACAAGGCGTCATGCGGTTGGCTATTGATATAATTGAGATCCTGAGCATGTTCTGAACTTCAGAACAGTCTTAAAATTCATGTTTACTCTCCTCAGCTGAGCTCAGGAGTTTCCTTGCTCATTCGAGGAGTTGATGCACCAATCTGGTGTGAAATGTACAGATTTTCCCGAAATTTCCTCAAAATTTCTATCTTGTGGGCAACCCATGTAGTTGAACTTGTGCATAATTTCCTCCCCTCAAACTGATTCAGAACTTGGACAGAGAGGTCCAGGAGAGACAAGCAACTGAAGTGAAACTGAGTCGTCATGTGCAACAGCAAGTTGAGGAACTTGTAAACATAGTTAGAGAAAGCGAGACTAAGACTGAACAGGTGAGCAACAATTCATGCGAATTACTTGAGCGCCAGTTCCCCTTAATCACGACAACACTTGTCTTGAAGTGTAGTTGTAGAGTTCCGTTCACTTGCAGGACGTGGGACAAGCCCTGAAGGTGCTCCGATCCGATTTAAGTCTGCAAATAAGTGAGAGCTCAACCAGGCATCAACAGAAGCTTGAGAAGAAGATCCTCGAGGAGCTCAACAGAGGTGCCCTTCTCCATAGCAATACTCAACAGCTCATAGCCCTCAGCTGAGCTCAGGAGTTCCCCGAGCTAATTATAGACGTTATCTCGGGTATAAGTGTACAGAAACGAAATAGAATATATCATAATTTTCATATTGTCACCAACACATGTGGTTGCCCATGTGCCTATTTTCCCACATTGAGAGACAATGGCATTCCTGTTACCCTTCAGCCGTTGAGAAGTGCACCGCTGATTTTGGCGATCGACTCAGCAAGAAGGAGGCCGATATGAACCAACGAATATCAAAAATTGAAAGCTCGATCAGGTTTGATGGCACGTCTGTCATTTTCCTATCCTTTTTATGGTAACCGTAAGGCATCACACGGCGTGTGAGAGGAGCTGTTCACTGTGAAATTCCACTAGTTCGCTTAGAAAACGACGTTTACCATTTCATCACACCAGCGTTGTTCCTAGACGGTTCTTGATACTTTGATTACTCCCACTGAATTGTCTATGGCGATTCAGCAGGCTATTTTCCCGATGAGTTAATATCCTCAGCGTTTATTCAGGAGAAGCACTGAGAGATTCACCGATGCACTGGACCCCCTTAGAGCAACTCTGAACGACTTGTCATCTCGTCTGGAAGAAACAGAGTCTGCGTCCACACTCCCTCGACCAGGGGAAGACCAACTCCTTTCTGGTCGTCTTAAGCAACAGGTCAGCATAGGAAGGATGCCTGTGTGACTTCATTCAACGCATAGATGCTAACACACGTCGAAGATAGATTGCAAAAGCTCAAATCTGAAACCATTGACGAGCTCTCGAGTGGGCCACGGAATTCTTTCACTATCAAATGACATTTTTGTAGGTCGCGAACGATCGGCCCCGCGGGAAGGCGATGTTGAAATGAAACTTAAACTGGAACAAGTCGAAAGGAAGCTCGCAGGTTAGCGAGCGCCTGTGGGGATATTCGAACGTATCATTTCTACTCAGTGTTGGAGGAATATATGTTCGCTTTCCTCAGCCGAGCTCAGGAGTTTTCTCGCTTATTATTGGAGTTTATATACGAATCAGGGAAGGAGTGTTCCGGAATCAACGAAAATCGTCTCGAAAATTTGTGCATCTCATCATGGGAATCTTTCCCACACTATTTGTACTGAGCTTTGAGGGTCTCTCATTGTCATTCTAGAATGCTACACAACGTGAATGAAGTGTCGTGTATTGTTATTCTGTAGCTCTCAATTTTGACACCCAACTCGCGTCCCTGCGATCTGAGGCAGAAGACAATCTGAAAACGATGAACGAGCGAGTCGATGCTCTCCGAGATGAAATGAAATCTAACAGGAAGGATGTAGACACGCATCATGTCTTATAGCATTCGAGCTCGCAAATGATCAGACACAGCGTTTCAGAGAACACGTTAATGCAGAGGGGAAGAAGAGCCAAGCTGAGATGCGTCGCATGGTGAGTTCACCGATACGCAACCGCAGTACTCTCAACCTTGAAAGTGCTGACAAGTTGAAACGTCGAGTATTCTATAAAAGAGTGCAATTCCTCAAACCTATCACTGAGGAGTACGCTCGTGGGGAAGTAATTTCTATGGCGTGCGGTAGGAGCGAGAGCTCTCAAGAGTAGTCGAAGCAAGCATGACCAGCCTGCGTGAACGTCACGATGAGCTACAGGAGTCCTTCACGACCGAGCTTAGGAATGCCATGGACAGCGTAGGCTGACGAATCGATATCGGTCGCTTACGAGCATGTTCAGACACGAAACGATTTGCAAGGCGCTCGAGCGGAAAACAGAGAGACTCTAGAAAAACTCGTCCGTGCCCAGCGAGAGCTGAAGAGTCTTGTGACGCAGAATGCGGAGCTGGAGAAAACGCTGGTGAGTGATGTGGTGTCTTCCTAGCTTGCGACTTGAGTGCACAGGCGGAATACCAGGAGAAAGTTAATACACTTTCCACGAACAACAGCAAAGTCGTTACAGAGCAGATGACCGAATTGGAAGTAAACACTGAGACGAATGAGTCTTCGATTATTTACCTCAGAAACGGACGGCAGATAATCTTGCCGAGTCGCGCGGCTCTATGATGCGAGGTTTCGAGTCGGACTTGATGCGCATTGCAGAGGAAGTGAGAGAAACACTCGACCATTGTTTGACAGTGTTCACATTACAGCTCGACTGCCACGTCAAGAGCGTACAGTCATCAACAGAGGAAAGAATGAAGAACCAGATTGACTCCATCAAAGGAGAAGTGATGTTGCGGTTCTCTAGATTGCACACGAGTTGATGACCCCTCAGATTGATTCGAAATCTGCAGAGACCGCTGACCGTTTACGGCGGATCATGGGGTCCTTGATAGAGCTCAATATGCGTATAGAGAAGCAAGAAGAATTGATGAGCGATCACAAACTGCAGAAGAACATCCGAGGGTCAGGACTCACAAGAGGAGTCGAGGTGCTCGACTCGAGCAATGCTGTGCTCGCTCAGGCTTGTCGACGAAGTTATACGCAGGAGCCTGGACGCTGACAGACTCGAGCACCGTGAGATGATAAGCCAACTTTATAAGAAGATGAACGAAGTTGTAAATGCTATGCATTATCCTAAGTATTACTCACATTCTCGGCTAGACTTGGGTGTTTGATAGCCAACACTTTCACTGGTTCACTCAGGCACGGCGTATCAGCGTCGACTACGCAGGCGATCGGACACTCAAGCTCTCTGATGCATTCACATCGTTCGACTTCCTCTATAACTGTCCCGAGGCACGAGTGGGTATCTCCCGGTATTGGCATTCGCACAATGTCGGATTCAAGATACTACGACCGTATTCTAGCGCCGGCAGCAGCAACTCAGAAGCAGCTCAGCTCGCTCATGAGAGAGATGAGTCTAGAACGATAATGCCATGACGTCGTGCTAGTGTGTTCGTACTGGATTTCGCTGCAGTGTTGGGTTACAAGTTTCGATATCGGGAACGTTGAAGGTGAACAAGGTGAAGCTAAATGGATATACCTCAGTGCAACCCACTTCTCTTCCCGGGGCAGCTATGCCAGGCAGAGGTAAACATCAGGACAACCTATTTCTCCGCGCGGGGCAGTTATGCCACCACAAGGTATGCGTCAAGACAACCAATCTTTCCGCGCGGCCCAGCTATGCCACCCCAAGGTATGCGTCAATACAACCTCTTCCTCTGCATGGGGTGGCTATGCCATCCCAAGGTATGCGTCAAGACAACCTCTTCCTCTGCATGGGGTGGCTATGCCACCCCAAGGTATGCGTCAAGACAACCTCTTCCTCTGCATGGGGTGGCTATGCCATCCCAAGGTATGCGTCAATACAACCTCTTCCTCTGCATGGGGTGGCTATGCCATCCCAAGGTATGCGTCAAGACAACATATTTCTCTGCGCCTGGCAGTTATGCCACCCCAAGGTATGCGTCGAGACAACCTATTTCTTCGCGCGGGGCAGTTACGCCACCTCAAGCTATGCATCAATACAACCTGTTTCTCTGCGTGGGGCAGCTATGCCACTCCGAGGTAGGCATCGCGGTTCTATCCACAGAGGGCACATTTTTTGAAGCAATTTAACTCATCGATCATCATGGCGAGCGCAAACGTCATCGAAACGCTATGATCCACAATCGCTCGTTCGGGCTGTTCTCTCATTGAGAAATCTCCAACGACAATACCAAACTGTTGAGCTGAGTGAAGACAAATCCCTTCATGGATTAGGGCTTCCCTAAGATGAATTCTTATAGTCATAGTTACACAGACAGCTCATTGTTCAACTCCAATGATGACAACTTTTTATTGACATTCACTTAGAATGAGCGTTAACGCGCGTTGATATAAAACTTCCTAGCACTGGGCGCTGAGAGACTAGATGTATTTGGTTGATGATGAATCAATTTTATTTCATCACTTTGACCTGATCATATGTGATGATACTCTTTCAGCTCCGCTGACAACCAAACTATCTATACTAGCTGTTAAAACATCATCTCTCCTGTTGATCAAAATGTGAATCACATGCACACTGTCATGAGGGAATAAATAATGAGTGGATAAGGATTCGTGGGAGTACTTGACCTCTACCAGTTTCCGAGTCCAAGTGGTTTCTTCCAGGATCTGCTTGGGAAACCGGTTCTGAACCTGCTCCCAGTTCAGATCCATCAACGACGACTTGTCGGCTCGCCGCC